TTAATCCACCCTACTTTTTACAATTTATCCCTAAAAATACATAAAAATCAAGAAAATTCCTCCAGGTAGAACCTAGTTGTTCTTCAGGCCATTAATGTCCCCCTAGATAAAACAGAGAATATATTAGATTTTGTTCCTTAAAGATATGTTCCTAATCCTCCCCTCCTAGGTAAGGGACACTAAAGATTGTGATGGCTAAGATTGCAAAAGCATGATTCATTAATGATAACTCCAATCTAGTGGGCATAGATTGATGGAATCACTGTTAACACCTCTATCCCACATGGAATGTGGTGTGAGATCAGTCCTCCGATTTTCTTGATAAAACATCTCCCTAGTTTTGGGAGGATACAGAACGCATTTATTAGTGAGATTATTGTGAGTTTGCATTAAAACATAACTTTTTTCACATTTAACAATAACCTTTTTTATCAACAAACAAGGAGGTACCAGTAAGGAGAGCAACCCGTGGGCACCTGCCTTCTACGCATGTCTCCAAATTGGGGTTTTTGGGAGGAAGCAGGTATGTCTTCAGATCATCAAGATTTCTTGCTAATGTCCAGAATCTGGTGTAGAGATATATAGATGATGTGTTTCCTTGTGTGGCGAGGAACATCTGAGGAATTAAAATTATTTTTGGGAGAGTTAACATCATAACTCCTTCAACATTGGAATCACGTAATAGATTTGATGAAAGATGTATTTTCTTTTTCTGGATCGTGGAGATTAGACTTGAGAATAGGAAGAACTCCTTACAAAGACATATAGAAAACCTACTGCAGCCCAACACCCTACTAGAGGCAAGAAGCTATCATCCACGGTTCTCACTGGATTTCATGGAATTCCAGTGGGACAGATTATGAGATGTCAGAGAAATTGCTCCAAACCATCAATGAATTTAGAATGGAGGCTCAGGAAACTCTATAGAAGATTTAGAGAAAGGGGATATATTCCCATCCTCTCCCACTCCCAAATGTAGATATCGCCTCGGAGACGGGCAAATATCAAACTGACCGTCAAGGACTTATTATCTCCTAATAAGGAAGATAAAAGGCTAAACCGTGGTTTGAAAAAATCCCCAACGCCTCTTAGATTGATAACCACTTTGGAGCCCAAGAGGAAAAGGAATGTAAAATTGATATTAGAAAAACATTGGAAGATTTCTAACTCAATGTCCCTAGGTTGAAGTTAAGATTTTGTAGGTGACGCTCCCCCAGATTTGGTAGCAAGAAGAGCACCAAATTCTTGGGTGACCTCCTTATTCCATTCTGATTATCAACCATTAAAAACAAACAAACATGGTTAAAATCCCGTACCAAAGGGAGGTTTACAATGTGTGGAAAATGACTAATCCTGCTAATATGTTGGATCGGTAGCGGGGTATTTTACTTATGGGGGGGGGGGGGGGGGGGGGGGGGGGGGGGGGGGGGGGGGGGGGGGGGGGGGGGGGGGGGGGGGGGGGGGGGGGGGGGGGGGGGGGGGGGGGGGGGGGGGGTAATTTTTGTGGGGGGGGGGGGGGGGGGGGGGGGGGGGTGGGGGGGGGGGGGGGGGGGCTACGGATTCCTTTTTATGACTCGGAAATAACACTCATTATAAGATTCAAGAGTCTCAATAAACTGCTCCACCAGTGAGAGTATTATATAGCTTAACCTGTCCCTGTAAAAAGATGTATGTGGGTAAGACCTAAAATGACAACTCAAAGTACGACATAGGTGAACATCTTAGAGATATTAGAATCACATGACCCTGACAGAAATCTTGCCCAACAATTATGCCCAAATATCATGGAGGTAAACTGGACGTAACAAAAGTAAATAGGTTTCTATGCACTGCACTTTCCACAAAAGGAGAGGTGATTTTGTTGACAGAGAACTGCTTAAACAGGAGAAACCATTGGATATATTAACGATGACACACTGTACCCTAAGAGTTTAAATGTGGAATGTGACCTCCAGTGATTTTTTGGAAAAAATAGGTTTATAGGACTATGTACCTGCTTATTGCAATGCCCGGTGGGCAATATAACGGCATTTTTTTTGTCTTTATAAAGGGTTGGGACTTTAGATTAAATAATCCCAAAATCAAACCTATATACATTGGGACTATATTAACAAAAATATGGAGTGATCTTATGGTAAAAAATTTTTTGCTTCTATATAGCGCTAAAAAAATGTAAAAGGAATTGATTGTCTGTTTAATTGTATCCCTTAGTACCTCTCCTCTTTTTGAACAATAACTCACACCATAGGCTGGTTGCCTGAGTATTTGAGGTATTTTTTGTTGAAATGACCCTTATTGAGAACTCTCAGGTTATATTGCCATCGTAGTTGTGTCTTTTTTGGTAATTTACATTGTCGTCTTAAAAAAACATGCATTCATCAATGATTAGAATTGGTTGATTCTCTGATTTATATTCGCCATCTTCTGGGTTAAAAATGTGATTAAAACCTTAATTGACTGGGTATGTTTAATTCTTGATCTTTTTGATCAATATATGGCAATGGTCATAATTTGCCAAGCCTCTCCCCTCTCTGTGGTCAACCGGCACGTCCTGGGTCCTTTTTAATTAGGATTCAACAAAGACCAGCAGCAGTGGCTAAGTAATTATAGCCCCCTTTTTTCTCTTCCATTAGGAACAATCTGCCAGGTTAGCTTTTTTGCATAGATGGGTGGGTCCCTATACCCACTAATAAATAGGAAAATTTGAAATGCCGTTGGGTTCATTGGTCCTGACGAAGCTGAGTGAGATACGCCCATCGGCGAAACGCGTTGCACGTCAATAGACGTCAGATACGTCCACTCATCCGGTCATCCGCCATTTGGAGGAACGCAATACGCTGACCCACACGGAAGGACGCCATTTTCACATGCCATGAGGCTAAGTGTGAGCAGCACAAGCCGCCAAGAAGGTGCTGGAAACCCGCGGTAAATATACGGCCGGACCATATCAGGCGGTGGTTCCTAAAAGGGGGCCCCCACCCCCCCCCCCCCCTTGTTTGTTTTCTGTGGCCGTGTATGGCAGTACCCATGAAGGACACATTTCTCTTCATTCCTAATACCCACAGCAACAGGTGGTGAGTTGGATTGTTACAGACATTGAGATATATGGTCCTTTGTGATCTTCTATGACACCTATATCACTTATTGAGTGGAAACTCTGTCAGTGACTTCCCACATATCATTTATCTCACTAACAGGATGGGGACATCATGGTGCTTGTGTAGGATACAGGATATACCACATATATTTCAACAGCAGAAGATCTTTTGGATATGTCCTGTTTTCCCTACGAAAAGGTGGTGTGTAGTCCCACATATAGTGGTGAAGATACCATTTCAAGCCAGAGTGTTGCTTTTTGCATCTTTTCTTCCACCCTGGGATTAAATGGGGCATATCTATTCATTCAAGAGCTCTAGATACAGCTGTTTATATTACAGATGAATGGGCCCCAACCACTTGTGCTGGCACAGGAATGTATTGCATCATATATTTGAACATTTAAGTCTCCTTCCATACAGGCCTAGACTTGGTGTTCTCTTTTGACGCATATTGTGCTTGCTGCTTTGCAATACATGTGATATATTATATCCATATTACAATTTTTGGATTCCCTGACTGGGATTCACCATTATGGTATTGTTCTAATAAATTATAAAATTCAATATTATGGTATACCTATGGTATAATTTTGGATACACCTCTTTTGGGATGTGTTCACTATGTGTCTGTGCTACAGGGACATTAGACTCTTGCAGTCATTTTCTCTGTTGCACATGCATAAAGGACCGGTCTTGGTGTCATTTTTATATGGTTTTAGGTCTGTCTAATGTGTATTGTCCTCATACAGAGGTGATGGAAACCAGGGCGAATGCCCATATGTTCCATATTTATATATGTGTAATAAAGCATCATTTTTGGAAATTTTTCTGAGTGTCACGTTCTGTTCAGAATGTAGCCGCTTTTTCTGTTGAATTTCTTTTCACAAATCCCCTTTTTTGAATTACTTGGACAGCACCCTTGCCAACCGAGGTAGACAATCCCCTTGACTACTGGCAACGAAAACTTGACCTTTGGCCCCAACTAGCTGAATTTGCCCTTGAAAGGCTGGCATGTCCGGCCAGTAAGCGTGCAGTTCGGAGCGCGTGTTAGATAGTGCGGCAGTAGGTATTGTAACTCCGCGGAGTGACACGACTGTCCACCCAAAGTGTGGAGAGACTCACTTTAGTGAAAATGAATCAGTCAGTGGATTAGTCTGGATTTCAAACCACCATTCCTGACACAACTGACCTAAATCCGCCGCCATGAATCATGCCCCAAACATGTTTAATTATTTTTAACATAGGCCTCTGTATGCCTTCAATTTAAGCTGCTTACGCTTCGCCACTCTGCCATGGGCCCCTGTACCGCCTCCTCTTGCTGCTGCCAGGTCCAGAGTGTCTCATGGGGGTCCCCTGTACGGCCTCCCATTGCTGCTGTCTCCATCGCCACACTGTGCCATGTGCCACTTTCAGGTCTCCTCACACTGCTGGTGGGTTCCATTTTGTCATAGGTGGTGCTGGCAGATACGGGCCCCTCCCATTGCTGCTGGCTGCCAGGCCCGTAATCTGTCATGGGTCCCTGTACGGCCTCCTATTGCTGCTGTCTCCATCGCCACACTCTGCCATGTGCCACTTTCAGGTCTCCTCACACTGCTGGTGGGTTTCCATTTTGTCATAGGGTGCTGGCAGATTACGGGCCTCCCATTGCTGCTGCCAGGCCCGTAATCTGTCATGGGCCCTGTACCGCCTCCTCATGCTGCTGCCCAGGTCCAGAGTGTGTCATGGGTCCCTGTACGGCCTCCCATTGCTGCTGTCTCCATCGCCACACTCTGCCATGTGCCACTTTCAGGTCTCCTCACACTGCTGGTGGGTTCCATTTTGTCATAGGGTGCTGGCAGATTACGGGCCTCCCATTGCTGCTGCCAGGCCCGTTAATCTGCCATGGGCCCCCGTACCGCCTCCTCATGCTGCTGCCAGGTCCAGAGTGTCTCATGGGTCCCTGTACGGCCTCCCATTGCTGCTGTCTCCATCGCCACACTCTGCCATGTGCCACTTTCAGGTCTCCTCACACTGCTGGTGGGTTCCATTTTGTCATAGGGTGCTGGCAGATTACGGGCCTCCCATTGCTGCTGCCAGGCCCGTAATCTGCCATGGGCCCCCGTACCGCCTCCTCATGCTGCTGCCAGGTTCCAGTAATCTGTCTCATGGGTCCCTGTACGGCCTCCCATTGCTGCTGTCTCCATCGCAACACTCTGCCATGTGCCACTTTCAGGTCTCCTCACACTGCTGGTGGTTCCATTTTGTCATAGGGTGCTGGCAAGATTACGGGCCTCCCATTGCTGCTGCCAGGCCCGTAATCTGCCATGGGCCCCTGTACCGCCTCCTCATGCTGCTGCCAGGTCCAGAGTGTGTCATGGGTCCCTGTACGGCCTCCCCCATTGCTGCTGTCTCCATCGCAACACTGTGCCATGTGCCACTTTCAGGTCTCCTCACACTGCTGGATGGTCCCATTTTGTCATAGGGTGCTGGCAGATTACGGGCCTCCCATTGCTGCTGCCAGGCCCTTAATCTGCCATGGGCCCCTGTACCGCCTCCTCATGCTGCTGCCAGGTCCGTAGAGTGTCTCATGGGTCCCTGTACGGCCTCCTATTGCTGCTGTCTCCATCGCCACACTGTGTCCAGGTACGTGCCACTTTCAGAGGTCTCCTCACACTGCTGGTGGGTTCCATTTTGTCAAAGGGTGCTGCAGATTACGGGCCTCCCATTGCTGCTGCCAGGCCCGTAATCTGCCATGGGCCCCCGTACCGACTCCTCATGCTGTGACGTTGCAACAAGGTGGAATTCAACCCTACATATGTTAACCGCCTTTACGAACAGCGAAAAAGGCCATCACCGATTTCCTGATGTTACAAGCGGATAAAGGTACTCCCCTGTGTAACTTAGATGTCATCCATTGGACACTCATGCGTGACACCTGCCGCTTGCTCAGGCCGCTTTGAGGAGGCCACGCTATTCGTGAGTCGGCAGGACTATGGGATGAACTGGGCAACGACGTCATTCCTCTGTTGCACGTCCTGGAACAAATGCTGTTAACAATGGCTGTCAAATCAGGGTGCGCGGTAGACGTGGCGCACAGATCTCACGCCTACATGACCCCTGTGGGGGCAGGACAGGAAGAAGAGGAGGAGGTAGAGGGAGGACATTGGTGCTCAGGAATTATTGAGTGAAATGGGTGGGTTTTTCCACTCAGCGGACAGGAGTGGAGGAGCAGGAGCATCTGGAGAGGAGGAGGAGGAGACAGAGGACCAGAACTGCACGCACCGTGGCAGCAGTATGCTGTGGAGATGGAGGCAGGGAGTCCCTCGCATTCCTTGGCACAAATGGCCCATAGCATGCTCGGTTGCTTGCGTAGCGACAGCCGAATAATAACCATCAGAACAGAGGATGACTTTTTGGCTGCCACCTAGTTGGATACCCTCGCTACCCGTTCAAAAAATGGTGGCCTTTTCTATGCTCACACACTGCTGGTAGAGGAGGCCAAAATAACGTACTATAAAAACCACCTATGTAGTCAGTTGGTCTCTGCCTTTGCTGCGCCAACGTCCATCCTCAGACACTGTGGCCCTGGTGCCTCCCGTTCCGCTGCCATGGCAGCAGAGGGGTCTGGGGTGGTAGGAGCAGTGGCAGCTCCACAGCAGCTGCTGCCTCAGTCTGCTCAGTCGGATGATGAGTAGCTTTCTTCACCAGCGCAGTGAGGGAAACTACTAACCAGCCGCGCAGCAGCAGCAGCATCAGGTGGGCCCCTGGAGCAGGACCTCAAACAACAGGCTGGGCCTACTTGGACCAGCACCCTGCCAACCGAGGTAGACAAATCCCCTTGACTACTGGGCAACGAAACTTGACCTTTGGCCCCAACTAGCTGAATTGGTGCCCTTGAAAGGCTGTCAGATGCCGGGCCCAGTACGTGGCATCGGAGCGCGTGTTTAGTGCGGCACATGCGGCCCCCGTATTTGTAACTCCGCGGAGGACCACGACTGTCCACCCAAAGTGTGGAGAGACTCACCACGTTCATGTGAAAATGGAATCAGGCGTGGATTAGTCTCACTGGATTGTCAAACCACCAGTTCCTGACACAACTGACTAAACTCCCGCCATGAATCATGCCCCACACATGTTATTATTTTTAACATAGGCCTCTGTTATGGGCCTTCAATTTAAGCTGCTTTTACGCTTCGGCCACTCTGCCATGGGCCCCTGGTACCGCCTCCTCATGCTGCTGCCAGGTCCAGAGTGTCTCATGGGTCCCTGTACGGCTCCCATTGCTGCTGTCTCTCATCGCCACACTCTGCCATGTGCCCACTTTCAGGTCTCCTCTCACACTGCTGGTGGGTTCCATTTTGTCATAGGTTGCTGGCAGATTACGGGCCTCCCATTGCTGCTGCCAGGCCCGTTAATCTGCCATGGGCCCCCGTACCACGTGCCTTGGGCCCCGTACGACTCCATCATGCTGCTGCCAGGTCCAGAGTGTTCATGGGTCCATGTACGGCCTCCCATTGCTGCTGTCTCCATCGCCACACTCTGCCATGTGCCACTTTCAGGTCTCCTCACACTGCTGGTGGGTTCCCTTTTGTCATAGGGTGGCTGGCAGATTCGGGCTCCATTGCTGTGCCAGGCCCCGTAATCTGCCATGGGCCCCGTAACCAACTCTCATGCTACTGCCAGGCCCGTAATCTGTCAAGGGCCCCTGTACCGCCTCCTCATGCTGCTGCAGGTCCAAGAGTGTTCTCATGGGTCCTGTACGGCCTCCCATTGCTGCTGTCTCCAATCGCCACATTGCCCTGTGCCCACTTTCAGGTCTCCTCACATCTGCTGGTGGGTTCCATTTTGTCATAGGGTTGCTGGCGATTA